TGGGCAACTCACTGCTCGATGTTCCTGTTGTCCACATCTGAAGCATTTGATTGATGAGCCTGCAGGTGGCTTGGGGTTTTCAGTGGCCGCAGCGGTTGGAGGCTTTCAGGGGGTGGTTGCCGTTTGGGTTGATCTGGCCTGGGCCCGGCTTCTTGAGGTGGTGGCTTCTTATAGCGGGCAGGCTGGACGTCCAGTCTTATTGCTGCTTGTATCATTCTTGCAATTCATTAGGGACTGCTCGATAGACACAAGCCTGGGAGAGATAGTCATCCAGTCCCTCCGTGAAGTGATGAACTAGGGATTGCTCAGGCCACCTCTCTATTTGGCCGGCTGTCTTGTGAAACTCTCGCACGTGTTCCAGTACAGGCCTGCCAGCTTGTCTTATCTTATGGACTTACTCTTCTGCTTTGAGGGCAATGGATGTGTCCTCGAACCTTACTCTCAGTCCTAGGAGGAAGAGGTGAAGGTCCCCCAACTCAGGTCCTTGCTCATTGTATCAATTGTTCAGCCACTTGGATGCTTCCCCTTCCAAATTGGAAACCACCATGTCGAACATAGTGGCTGGGTTCGGGTAGAAATAGGCATAGCAGTTCATGTGGAAACACACCTGGTTGAGGAAGAAAATCAGCTTCTCCTGGTCTCCATCAAAAGTTACTCTAAGGGGAGGCACCATCAGTGGTCGCTGGGCTCCCCAGTGAGCCTGCATTCCCGGTGGTTGCTGGCTTCCCCACTGTGGATGTTGCACCCCCATCATTTGCCAGTTGCTGCAGGCCTTTAGGGGCTGTTGCCACCCCCATGGCTGTTGCTGCACTGCCGGCGGCTGCTGTCCTCCCAGCGGCTGTGGCATTCCCAATTGCTGTAGGACCCCCAATGACCTCAGCGGCTGCTGAAGTGGCATCCCCAGTTGCTGCAGGCCTCCCAGTGGCTGCTGCACATTCGGGTGCTGTTGCCACCCCCACTGCTGCTGACCTACGGGCAATTGTGGTATCCCCGGTTGTTGTAGGTTCCCCTGCGGCCCCAGTGGTGGTTGATGCAGGATCCCCAGTGGTTGCAGGCCCCTCAGCGGTTGCTGCACATTCAGAGATGGTGGTCAGCCCCACTGCTGCTGCACATTCGGGGGCTGCGACCACTGCCAAAGCTGTTGCTGCACCACCAGCGGCTGTTGGCCTCCCAGCTTTGGGGGTTGTGGCATCCCCCATTGCTGTAGAGGCCTCGGGCTGGGTGGCTGGTAGGCATGTCGGTCCAGGTTTTGGCTGTCCCAGTGACGGCTTTGGCTCTTGTCTCGCTGGCAGCCATCTGGGCTTCTGGAGGGGCGACGGCGATCTGGGCTGCCATGTCTGGGGTGGCAACTAGGGTTGTCCCTCTCTGCAGGGCTGGAGGCTATTGTAGGTGGCTTCGTGAATGGGGAAGCCGCTTGCCCTGTGCAGGTGGGGCTGGGGCTTCCCCTCGGCATGAGTTGGTGGCTGCCCTGCTGATCATCATGATCAATTGTGTATGGAGAATGGGAGGGTTGTTCCCCACTTCTCATCTCTAGCTCCTCAAATCTCTCCACCAACTTCTCCACTGATTGACTACGGACTGTGGACAGATACTTCCACTCACCAGAGTCCTCAGCAGTAGTTGATTTCTTGGCTCTCCATTGATCTGGGGAACGCGACTTGTGAGAACCCCCTCTTTGCAACTCGACCTCATCTCCCCTCGAAGCACTTGATTGTGGCAAGGCTGTCTTGAGGTGTCTGGAGTCTTCACTGGGTAAAGTCCAGTCTGACGACCAGATCAGTTGCCCTTGGAACTGTCTTGCCCCCATCTGGGAGACCTGAAAAGATTCCTTCTCTGCTAGTGCACTGGCCTGCGCTCCCTCCTCTGAAGCAGCAGCCACTGCCGGGGTGCTGGTTTCAGGCGCCCCTTCCTTTTCCGTGTTAAGATCTTCCACAAATCTTTATTGGTCTATCCCTCAACTCTAGGGACAGAGACTGGGGCTTGGGACCTCAGGGTGAATAGGTAAAAATTGGAGATAAAAATGTTATGGTTCCGACAGATGAAACCCTTCAAAAGAACTTCAAGGCATTATTTACTTTAAAGAATCTTTTATTAGGGAAACAAATTATCAGCACTACATAGTTGAACCCAAAAACTAAATTCCCCTCCCCTGAATACAAAGTAACAAAGTACAATTTCCATCTCCAATAAACAGTCATAAATCACATTCCCCAATTAGCTTGAAGCGCGGGCTTCCTCCCCAGCTCTCTAGCCCACCAAAACACTATCAGCTCTGGGCCCAATGTCCTTAGGTTCCCATGGCCAAGTTATTATTGTTATGACTAGCTGGACTCTTATCCCTATTCCCCCTCCCAACATCAACTAATTCTAAAAGCATAGAGAAAATGGCTGCATTTTCATCTGTTGTCAAAGCAAGAACATCCGATGATAGCAGCGTTGACATGAGGTTTGAAGCCATGATTCTGTATGATGATAAAACTGATTGTCCTTAATGAGGACATGTGGTGACCCAGGATGGGGTGGGGTCTCAGTCCGGGTGCTGTTTCATTTTAATACAGTGATGTCAGTATCCCTTTGGACCAGCTTTGGAGGTTAGTAGAGAGAAATCTGAAGATATGCAGAATTGTTAAAAATTACTCAGCCCACATTTGATGAACTTTATTAGGAAAGATAAACATGACAAATTTAGGGCTAGATCTGTCCAGAATAGTTATTTTATTTTTCCCCCACTGAAATTATAATTTTATTTATGTCTAATATAGAATTCACATTGCTGTACTTTATATTTAAATATAAACAAATTATTAGGCAAATCAACCCCATATATCTTTTAGAAACCTTACAGCTATTTGGAATTATTTTAAAAGCAATTAAACCCACAGGCATCCTAGGACTATTAGAAACACTGTTCTAGGGAATGCTCTTTATACTGGTTTCAAATTTATATTTTTGAATGATAATCACACTTTTTTGGCATGATCTCTGTAGGTTAGTTGCCCATCTCTTAATTTTAAT